TTAGCAATGAAAAGTTTTCTCTTTCATGTTGCGGAGGTGGTTCAAGGTGAGGGATAGAATCAAAGGTATGAGAGAATCATTGGTAGAGGCCTGGATGATCAGGCTGTCACAAGGAGAAATGTTAAGGTCAAGGCTGCTCACAAGTAAAGAACGTGAAATGCATTAAAGCATTGGTGGCGGATCCTGTGTCTATGTAACGTGTGCATATGCAAGGCAGGACAGTGGCTGGAGAGGAGAGAGTTGTTGGCAGGGGAGGAGAGGGAAGTAAGGCTGGACAAGTCATGTGGAGGCATGTTAGGAAGGATTTAGGAAATCAGGCAATATATAGGCTTGATATTATCAGGAGCTTTTGTTTGGGGCATGAGAGTGGGGACCTCCACATTACTCTTCCCCACACTGGGGAACTTCTTGAAAAGTGTCACCTGTCCTCATTGTTTTTGCTTCTTCTTGGCTCCCATTGGTTCCCTCACCCCCGTGCAGTCTGGAAATACATCAAATAGCCCACAGCATTCTGCCATCACTGTTCTCATCAAGGTCTCCAGAAGCTACCTGATAACCAGCCTTCTCCTTCTTCCTGGTTCTTAGCCCCTTGATTTCTCAAAAGCAATTGATGCATCAAGTTATGGCTTTAGCTATTTCCCAGATGCTGGGGACCCCCAAATCTATCTCCAGCTTGGGCTTTCTTCAGAGCTCCCGACCTGGGTAATCACCTGCCTTGTAGCCTGCATCATGGGGAGGCTCCAGATTTCTTCCAACCCAACACGAACCCAACGGGACTAGTTTCCCCCTCTCTAACCTTGCTGGTTCTCCGCTTGTGTCCTGTGGTTGGGCAATGGCACTGCATTCCCCAACCAGAGGGTTACAATGGCCCCCACTTCCCACCAGGTTCACTCTCTTATCTGAACCCTGTGTGGTTGGCTTTTGCCAGAGTGATTTTCATAAAATGCAAAGGAAATCGGACCACGTCACCACTCTCCTTTACCTGCCCCCCTTAAATATTCAGTGATGGGATAAGGCTCAGAACCCTTCATGTGACAAATAAAGTTTATCATTACTTGGTCTCTGGACCCTGTGTTCCACTTGCCCTTCTGGTACGCCTTGTCCCTCCTTGCCCTGGTGCCTGCTGCTCCTCCTCTTGAAATACCTTCATTTCTTACCCCTCACTGATCACGAGGGCATGCTTTGTTCCTACCCCAGCTCACTACCCACAAGACACTCAGTAAACTCTAAGGTAACTATTAATCCTATGTGTGTCCCCCATTTTCCATCCCACTTCCCTAGCTGGTGAGCTCATTGACAGTAGGCAACTTTTAATGTTTTCTTTCTTTCCTTTTTTAAAAAAAGATTTTATTTATTTATTTGAGAGAGAGAGAGAGACAGACAGACAGACAAACAGAGGTTACAGAGGAAAAGGGAGAAGCAGACTCCCCACTGAGCAAAGAGGCTGATACAGGACTCGATCCCACGGCCCGGAGATCATGACCCGAGCCAAAGGCAGAGGCTTAGCCAACTGAGCCAACAAGGTGCCCCTAATTTTTTCAATGTAGCTTTATTTCCTGAGCTACAAATAGTAGGGGTGCAGTGATTTATGAATGAATGAACTTTGGAATTAGGAGACAGCAGAATTCGGTCATATCTTTGCTCTGTTTATTTTGTTGGGGACTGTTTGGTAGAGAACATGACCCTACTGCAACTTGAGCATCTTGCGTGAGGCTTTGTGTTAGAAGCTGCAGCGTGTTGTGACAGGTCTTGGGAACAGGAACAGTTTTATACTATACATTGTCTTCTGTTTAAGTTGTGTGTACAAGCCCACTTAACAAACATTCCTTTGGGCACCTCCTTTGTACCAGACTCTGGGCAAGGCATAGAAGCAAATGGTAATATACATATTACAATATACATATATATATTATATGTATATATAATATATATATATATATACATATATATATATTACAATATACAATACAATAATGCTTCTAATTATTCTGTCCCTCCTCTACTCTGCATCTAGGTTAGTTCATGAGTTCAGCCACTTCCTAAATATGGGTAAACAGAGACTCATATTTAAAATATCTTTTCTAGGGCACCTGGGTGAATCAGTCGGTTAAGCCTCTGCCTTTGGCTCAGGTTATGATCTCAGGGGCCTGGGATCGAGCCCTGCATGGGGCTCTCTGCTCAGCAGGGAGCCTGCTTCCCCCCAGCCCCCCCACCGCCTGCCTCTCTGCCTACTTGTGATCCCCCCTCTGTCAAATAAAAAAATAAAATCTTTAAAAGAAAGTCTTTTCTAAAAGAATACAGAAACTAAATGGGAAACCATATTTGAACCGAGGTCTGCGTTTATTCCTATACCCATTGCTCCTTTCAATAACACATAATACCTCATAGGTACCAATTGTTGAATGCCTTCTCTCTCTGAGGTGCTAGATATGCATTCTTTGGATTTAATTCTCCTCTAATAGTTTGCAAGTCGTGATCCCCATTTTCCTGGAGAGGCAATGGGGTCAGAAAGGTTAAGTAATCTGCGTAGGATTGCAGAGAACGGTGGCAAGTGGCAGAGCAGAGATAATTACTCAGGTCTGCTGGACCCTCAGGCCCCATTCCCTGCCCACGTAGCCTATGGCATGATCGAGCCAGAGGGCAAAGCTGCTCTTGAGTAACAGGTTCACCATGATAAGTGCAGGTGTGAGAGCAAGGCCAAGGAGTTGCTGCTTCAACAAGGGAGGGATGGGCACAGCTGTTCAGCTGGGGGTTCCAAGTGTTCTGATGATGTCAATATTACGCTGTTAAGTCATTCATTCATTCATTCATCACATATTTTGGGGCCATTTAATTTGTTAAACATACCAGTGGCAACTGATATAAACATAGGAAAGACAAAGGAACTTCTAAAGAGAGGTCCTGGTCTTTTTAGGAGAAGGGGATAGAGGGATGAGAAACAGAAACAAATGCTTTCATCAGACGTAGGTGCCAAATCAGAGCTTGTCACCAGGTGCCGTCCACCAGGTAGGGACATAACCCAGCAGCTCCACCTATGGTCTAGGCTTGAGTCCACTCCCTCCAAACTCCTCCCCAGGCCTGGAAGGCCCTCCAGGATCTGTCCTGCCAATGGCTCTCACCTTCTGTGCTTCTGCTACATACGCTTACTTACAGTTCTCAACGTAACTAAACTCGCTCCTGCCCCTGCCACAGGGCCTTTGCCCCTGCTACTCTACTGTACATCACAGTCTCTCTCTAGTACTCTGCATCCAGACTTCTCTCAGTGTCTCCCCTCTTGTGGAGGGGGGGTTCTGGATGGCCCTCCCCATTCACTCGTGTCCTCCCTCTGCTCCCAGCACCAGTCATACTCTTAAGGGCATGGGTTCCAATCTCAATTCTGCCATTTTACCGGCAAGGTAAGCTTAGACAAGTTATTTAACCTCTCTGCATCTCATTTTTGTCAACTGAAAACGGAGGTGATAACAATGACACCCCCACCTCCCAGTGTACTGCTGTGGGGCTTCCCTGAGCTTATATACGTAAACATCAACAGCGCCTGCGCATAGGAGGTCTGCGATAAACGCGGACTGTGCGAATCTTCTCGTCATCATGCGTCTGTCCAGTACTTACTGGGTTGGAGCACAGAGACCACGGAACACAGGGAACACAGGCCGGGAGTGCAACAGCGCCCAGGCCAGCACCGCCTCTGTCCACAGGGGGCTTGCCTGGCTGCCTGAACCACTTCCCCCGTCTACACACACATGCATGTGGCCTGTGGCCTTCGCCTGGAGGCCACTCTTCCTCCCTGTTCTCGTTTCTCTCCTCCTCGCCCCCACCACCTGCCCGGCGCCCAGGAGGCCGCCGCCACGGCTTGAGACAATACATCAGTCTGTGTGTTTTTACACCCATGTGATCTGTTCGTTGCTTGTGGTTCTGTCCCTTCCTTTAGTGGTAGACGCCATTAGAAGTTTGGCTGGTGAGGAAATGGTAAAAATCTCACCAAGGGGGTGAAAAAAGCAGAATAATAGCTAAAGGCCCACCTCTTGGGTTTCTTCGTGATCTGTTGATGTTCCACAACCCTGGAACTGCCCATCCCCCTGAATCGGCCTGCTTTCTCCTTGCCTAGATTTCACTTCCTCGCAGAAGTCTTCTCTGCCTTCCCAAGACCGTGGGCTCTGGAGTAGACCTCGTGCGCCCATGTTCCACCGGGAGGAACTGTCTTCGTCCCTCTCTCCCCACAAGTCTGCCCATGCTATATGGCTGGTGCCACGTCTTTCGTCTTATTCTCCATGGGATCCTTAACCCCCCAGTACCTTCCTGCTATTAACAAGTAGTGTTCTTAATCTACATAATGATTTTAGAGGACACGAACCAATAAAGCAGGTAAATTAGGAAACAGTGGTTTGTATTGGGTTACAAAACGTCTATTCACTTTATAAAAGGAGTTTTTGTAGGGTTCCTTTGAGTAGCAAGTCAGGGGTATTGCTGGTAAATTAACCCCCAAACCTCAGTGGCTTCACACACACACACACACACACACACACAAACACACACACACAGACACACTCACACTTTCTCAATGATGTGATAATCATTGCAAGTGTTGGATGCATAGCCTTTCAAATTTCAAATCTTGTAGCTCCACCATCCTTTATGCCCTTGGGGTCCTCTCCTGGGTCTTCGGCATCTGGCTGGCTGATGGGGAAGGAGAGAGAGAAGAGAATTGCTCAAGGGGTTTTCTTCCGGGTCATACCTGCAAGGGGCATAACGTACTTCCTTTCCCATTGACTGGAACTCCGCTGTACCGTTGCTGACTGCTGCCAACTGCTAGGGCCGCTGGGAGAAGTATTCTAGCTGTGCTCCCAGGAGGAACTGGAAAGATGGTTTGGTGAACACAGGGCAGTCTCTGTGCCTGGGAGTATACCACAGCCAGGCGTCCCTGGGTAAAGTCAGGCCTTGTGTCCCTGCAGTGGGTTCCAGAGGAAGGGAATTGCAATGACTTTTCTGTTTTGATTTTTCAGGCAAACACATGTGATCAAAATCTTAGTCATTGCCTTGAGCTCATCGAACAAATTTCCAAAGTACAAGGACAGCTCTTTCGGATCCTCACCACGGCAGCCCAAGAAGGTGAGAATGGCCCATGTTTCCCCATCCGGTTCTGTCTTCTTTTGCTTCTGTCCTTGGTGCTCTCACCGTATTGCTGAACTTCTCTCCCTGACCTGATTTGTGGGTTCTTTCAGGCGGACATTATGATGGTGTGGAAATAATAAAATCGCGCCTTCTGCCTTGGCTGGAGGCCTCCTTTACTGCTGCTTCCCTGGGAAAACCTGTTGACAGCAGGGTGCCCTCTCTACAGGTAGGGATGCTAAAGGATCCCCTTTGACTTTCAGCACCCTGTTCAGGCTCCGGGAATGCAGACATATGTAAGAGATGACTTTTGCCTAGTGAGGGACTTAGTGCTACTTTGGACACAGGTCCAAAAAGTGAGGTTCTGTTTACAGTAGCATGTGGCATAATGGGTTCAGCTTTCTCTTCAGACAGACCTGCGTTCAACTCTCAGCTTTGCCTACCTCAGCGGTGTGACCTCAGATGAATCAAAGAGCCTCTGCCGCCTCCGCTGGAAGAAGGGACTGGTGATGGTCTACATCTACATCTACATCTGGGACATTGCCCACACTCAGCATTAAATAGGAACTTTGGAATAAAGATTAGTCCACCCAGTTAGGGTACCACGGAGCCTCAGGAGAGACCATTAGATGGGGGAGAGCTCCAAATTCTGAAAGAGTGAAATGAAACGAATTGGAAACTTAGTTCTCAGAGACTGACAAAGAGTACCATCATTTGCTGTTGCTAGGGGGTGATTTCTATGGGTTAGTGTCAAGTTTTAGTCAGGTGAAGCCCAGACTGGAAATAGAACATATACCTTGCTTAAGGCACTGATGTCATTAAACATTAGTAGCCTTGATTTTAAACAATTTTATGGGTTTCCATAAATTCTCAAATTAAAGCACATAGAGCAGTCTTTTCTTGGCAGTCTTAGGAGGACAGGGGCAAAAGGGTTCCCGCGTGGAGGTCACTGGGCACAATTCTGGCCGCTCATCTATGGTCCCGGGTCTGTCGTCTAACCTTCTGTGTCTTACTTGCCGAATGGAGACAATGCTTTTGCTGACCCACTAGGGCCATTTTGAGAATTAAATGTGATAAACATGCAAAAACAACTAACATAGGGTAAGCATTCCACAGATATCAGTCGGTTTTAAGCAAATTTTTCTCTCCCCGGGGATTTTTCACATGCTGCTTAGATTTTTACCCCATGGGTGTTCTCCTGAGGATAAAGATATGGGATGATATTTCAATGGCTTTTTAAAAATGTGCTATATAATAAAAAATTGAAGTATAATTTACTTGCAGTGAAATCCATAGGTCGATAAATGCGTATATCCGTGTAATTCACACCCTATTAACTTATAAGACATCTCCATCTCTCTAGAGCATTTCCTTGTGCCAATTCCCAGTCACCTACCCTCCCCCACTGCAGGCAACCACTCTTCTGATTTTTATTGTTCTAGATTAATTTTGATTGCGCTAGAACTGCATATATATGGAACAATGCATTTGTGCCCTTTTGCACCTGACTTCTTTTGCTCAGCGTAATTGTGTTGCAACCCATCAAGCTGCTTCATGTATTCAAGACTCTTTTTGATTTGTATATCATTTCAGGACACATTCGATAAAGAGAAACATAAAGAGTCAGGTGTTCGGGATCGGGACATGCAACAACTAGACTCTGAGTTGACTTCGACTCGTAATCAACTCAACCAGGTTCAAGACGAGTAAGAGGAATGCAAGTTATCTTTTTCCAAAAAGAATTGTTTGTTCTTAATTTTTAAGTGAAAGGGGAATAATGGCTCATGAATAATGTAGACGTCTGCAAATAACTGTGTGCGTGTGTGTGTGTGTGTGTGTGTGAGAGAGAGAGAGAGAGAGAGAGAGAGTCAACAGATTAAGGAGCCGGTGTCTTTGAATCTGGGGATAAGATTTCTCTATTATAAGAGGTTACCTAAGACACTGGTCCCCTTGGTTCCATTCCTGGAGCTTCTTCTTCTCTAGAGGTCTATTATCAGCATATATATATATATATATAGAGAGAGAGAGAGAGAGAGAGAGAGAGATTGTTACATAATAATCTTTTGAAAGAAAAAGAATCTATCTTTTGAAAGAAAAATAAAATGCAAAATGGGGAGGTTTGGAGAAGGTCAGACAAAGAGTAAAATCAAGAGCAAGAGGAAGAGGATACATCCGTCTGACAGATGTGCTCCTTTAGGGGGTATAGACCCCTGGCTGAGAAGTCAGACTCTTTAAACAATAAGGATTTCAAGATTTTGGAATAATTTGTAGATATAAAAAAGTATTTTAAAGAAGTCAGGCAATGCCAGGCAGCAGCAGCTATCAGTGGCATAGCCAGGGTAGCAAGCTCAAGGATTCACTGCAAAGAAAATCACAAGCCTTGGATTTGCACTTAAGGAAGATGGACAAATGTGCATGAAACTGCGTGCAGCCCAGCTAGCCCAAACCCATGTTTCCTAATTGGAGTCTTGCTCTACTGCTCACATGTATAGGACAGCAAGGAACTCTTTGGTTAGGGCTTGTGATGGACTAAGGTGTGGCACGCTGCCTTGTTCTCTGATGAGATTTCCTTTTAAGGAAAGTATCTCTACAGACTTAGTTTTGCTTGATCATGAAGGTAGCAAAAATTTCCTTCTTAAAATGCATACAACATACAGACATACAAAAGTGGTTGTGTCATAGCCAAGGAGGTTTAATGAGGCACAATCATTGCTAATTCAAAATGCATACAACAAAGACAAGGATAAAGGTGAAAATCACCTGTTATTTCATCCCTGTTAACATTCTGGTTTATTTTGCTCCAGACATTTTTCTTTGTGCGTGCTTGCATGCATACACACACACACACACACACACACAGACACACACACACACAGAGTCACCTCCATACCCAACATTCATGTTGCAAGTGAAATCATTGTCAATGAACAGTTTTATGACTGCCAACAGTCAACATTTACAAATGTAATAACCAAAAAAGCACAACTCCTCTGAATTTCTGCAACTTACTTCAACTAATATCAGCTGATTTGGAAAGAGGTGAGGATAATTACATTTACCACTTCTTTTCTGGTTTACTATAGCCCTTTTCCTGTAAATATCTGGTGAATTCCAAGTTCAAACTACTGTTAGGGTTTTTTTTTTTTGTTTGTTTGTTTTTGCATTGTTTTGTTTTGTTTTGGCCCTCTCCAAGAGTCTCCTTGGCCCCCCTCCTTCCTTAGACTGGCCTCTAGAAGGGAGGCTTGCATCTCATGAGGGATGCCTCAGGCTGGAGAGGAGGAACTTTTGGTCTTGTACTGCTCTATGGCTTCCTGCTCCTTCATTTCCAACTGGGCAGTAGAGTCTTGTGCCAAGGGGTACTGATTTGTGGCTTGTCTGGTTAAGTCTTCTGGAGAATTTGCTGGCAACTGCTGCTGGCTAGGCCCTTCTGTTTGCCACTAGCTGTGAGGCAGGGCTTCAAGACTTTGCTGGTTTTTGACTTCTATCAGCACCAAAAGGAGCCAGGAATTCCTTTGTATCTCCCTCTCTTATCATTATGGCTCTGTAAATACCCATCAGGAACATCAGGGTTCAAGGAACCATGACTGCATCGTTTTGTTAAAAAAAAAAATTATTTGGAAATAATTTCCAATGCAGAAAATTTGTAAGAATAGTACTAAGGACACCCATAGGCACTGTCATGTTCCTTTCACACTGTTTGCTTTATCATTCATGTGTACACTATCTAGATGCATCCTCCCCCTCTCCCCCCACCAAGCCATGTGCATCTCATTTGAAAGTTGCACAGAGGAAGGTATTTGTTCCTTTACCTTGGATTTCCTAGTTTCATTTGGTTTTCAACCCACCTGTGGTTCTTATTTTTTTAAGGCATCACAAATGATGCTGTCTGTCCCCCACATTCTATAGTAGCTAAGTCTCTTCTTTCTTACTCTACTTGCCTTTAGATTCAGGGTGCTACCGGCTATGAAATGAGTGGCCCACCAAGGAGATTCCCCGTGTCTAACTTTGTGGAGACCAGATTGGTTTTGACTCAGTTCCAAAGGGGCAAATTCTATAGTGCTGAATGGGGATGGATCTGCCCAAGTTTGATGAATTCTCTGAAAGGAAGATGTCTAGATTTTATACTTGGGCTCTGGTTATGAATCCCACATGTCCTCATTTCCTATCTCCGATCTATTGGCAAGTCCAGTTGAATCTACCTGCTAAACTTCTCCCACCCTTGTCCTTTTCTTCCTGTTCTACCTCCATCGTCCTAGTTCAAGGCCCTGATACCTGTTTCTTCAACCAGTTGTCTTCCAACTGATTTCCCTGCTTTCATTCTTGTTCTACTATAATCCATTTCACAAATAGAAATTAATAAAGGCAGACCCCACCTTAAAAGCTCTTAGTAGCCTCCTTTCACACTTAGAAAAAAAAAATTCTAAACTCCTTACCAGGACTCTCCAAAGCCCTGTGTGATCTGGCCCTACCTCCCTTTCCACCCTCATCTCATGCCAGGCTCTCCTCACCTAGTCTGTGGTCCCCTTCCTCACCTTGAAACCTTTGTGCTCTTTCAGAAACATGGCAGTCTCTCTCTCTGGTTCTTTGCCTCGCTGCTTCTTTGTTATCTTTCAGGTCTCAGCTGAAATGTAACTTTCTCAGAGTCTTTCTGTGACCACATATATTGAAAGGTCTTTCCTTACCCCTGCTCCGTAGTTCTCTTTTGCAGTGATCTGAGAAGAGCTCTTACCATAATTTGGAACTTGAAAAGATTGGTTTGCATGTTTCTGATCCACCAGACTAGAAGCCCCAAAGGGTTACTATCTTGTATCTGCTATTCTGACACTGTTGTATCCCCAGCACCCAACATCATGCCTGACACATGGTATATCCTCAATGAATGAATAAATCCCTAATAAAAAATAAATAAAATACATTAACTTGCTTAAAATAATGCTTGGCACCTGAATGTGACTCTCTTTCTTCTCTCTGTATATCATTCAAGGGGTGCCAAATTAGCATGTATGTTTGGTTGTATGTACATGTGTTCACACACGAGTGCCATGTCTTAAGAGAAAAACAACTATTCCTGTTCATACTCTCCTTCCTTACTTCTTATTTGCTTCCTTTAATTTTCTAGTTTTCTCATGACAAATATGTTAATTTTTTTCTCCATGTGTACTTTTAAAAACCTGTAACATATTCACCTTTGAATTAAATCACAGCAATTTCCTCTTAATCGCCAGTAGCCCTATTATGAAGTTATTGCTACTTTGGCATTTTTAAAAAGACTTTAAACATTGTGTTCATTCATCACTACCACGTTCACAGGCACTATTTGAGATGCTGGGGATAAAAAGATAAGTAAAAAAATAATTCTTGCCCTTAAGTAGTTCACAGTGTATCTGTAATGAGACTGTTAGTGTGAACCAAATGTTGGAGGCACTCCAGAGAAGGGGAGACTGCTTGAGACAGTCAGGGGCAACAATTGCAAGACCACTCACAGGTTGTCTGCCTGTTAGGGGAGGAGGAAAAGGAGGAGATGGGAAGGAACATTGGGTAATCACAACACCTCTTGTATTGCCCGATCGGCTGGGATCTGTGGGAACTTGGTAGGAATCCTGCTAGACCATTATTTCTCTATCTGCTTTACTGCCTAGGCGAGGACCCCAGTGTGTGACCTTCCATTCTTCCATCTAAAAGAAAGGAAGAAGACTAGTGTGAGTCTAGACAGCAATTGCACTCTCTCAGCCTCAGATGAAAGAACCTGGATAGTACAGGGAAGTAGGGTCCAAGAAGTCAAGAAACCTTTGCCCACCTATGATCTCTCACTGGACTAGGGCAACTTAATGGAGAACCACTGGTCTCCATCCAATGTCATCTACACATTCCCATTTCTTTTAAAATTTTAAATAGACCTAAAGAAATAATATGATTTGTTATGATTTGTCTACAATAAAGAGAGTCCTTGACACTGACAATGACCTAGTTATGTTGAAAACTCAGGAAAATCATGCTCAATAAATTATGGAAGTCAGAGGCATGAAATACTTGGTAGTCAAGTTTGACTTTGGAAGATTTTCTTTGTAGGTGGGCAAATAATTTTTTCTTTATATTTAGGAAGTCTGGGAAAATTAGGTCAAATGCAACTCTACAGTGTAAAGTAATGAGAATACTGCAGAAAATGGTATTAGGAGTGGAGATTTTATAGGGAGAGGCAGCCTGAAGATTTAGTGTGATTAGAACAGATGAATTAGGGACGCCTGGGTGGCTCAGTTGGTTAAGCAGCTGCCTTCAGCTCGGGTCATGATCCCAGCGTCCTGGGATCGAGTACCGCATCGGGCTCCTTGCTCGGCGGGGAGCCTGCTTCTCCCTCTGCCTCTGCCTGCCATTCTGTCTGCCTGTGCTTGCTCTCTCTCCCTCTCTCTCTCTGACAAATAAATAAAATCTTAAAAAAAAAAAAAAGAACAGATGAATTAGGAGAGAGAGAAGGAGGAAGGGAACAAGTTTCTTTGCCCTTTACATTCTAATGTTAGTAATTATTACATAAGCTCTTTGGTGGTAGCCACTTTGTAATGTCTTTGCGTTTGACCTTGAGAAAGAATGCCTGCATATTTTTTGCATACAAGCACAACATAATATTTGCAATGGCGTCTGCTTGGATGCAGATGTCTCATAACTTGATCTTGTTTATGTTGAACTTATATCATATGCCAAAAGTTCCTGGGAGAACCTATGCCTTGATTTGGAAAGTCTGCCAATTTTGGAAAATCGGTCTTTAGTTACTGATTTCTCTTACAGTCTGGCTGAAACTGAAAAGACTCTTGAAGAAACCAAGAACAGATCGGCCATATCCCTTTTGGCTGCAGAGGAGGAAATAAATCAGCTAAAAAAGCAGTAAGAAAAAAAAATGACAGGATTTTTTCAGCCTGCTGATTGATCTTTGAATTTAGCTTTTTGGTGCTCCATTAAAATACAAAAGAAGCTGTTCACAAAGAGGAAAGGCAGAAATATTTTTATTAATTTTATAAAATTTTTTTCTTACTACAAGAACGTTAGCTATCTAGTTTAGAAAAATTTCAAAGTACAACAGAGTATAAGAGGAACCCAAAGACCCTTTCAAAATTCCAGAGCTAGTTCTTGTTACCATTTTGCAATTTCTTCCAATTGGCCCATTAAAAATTGGACTTATTACTGCAAAAATCAGCATAAGTATACAATTTTGGACCCCATCTTTTCACTTAACATTGTTTTTCTCTATTACTAAGAAAAAATACTGCAAAACCTGGTTTTAAATAGATGCATTGTGTTCTGTTATCTAGACATCTCCCTAATATTGAATATTTACTTTGATACTGATTTTAAACATTGGAAATAACATTGTGATAATCATTGCAGCAAATGTTTAAATTTCAGATTATTCTCTAAATATAAATTTCTAGGAGGAGAACATAAACACATACTAGTTGACACACTATTAGTTTCAGATGTACAACATAGTGATTTGACAGCTCTGTACGTACCTTATGCTATGTTCATAAATGTGGCTACCATCTGTCACCCTACAACGCCATTATGGTACGGGTGACTATATCCCCTATGCTGTGCCTTTTATTCCTGTGACTTATTTCTTCCCTATGCAGAAGCCTATACCTCCCACTCCCCTTCGCCCCCTTTGCTCATCTCCCCATGCCTCCCCCTTCTGACAACCACCAGTTTGTTCTCTGTATTTATGGGTCTGTTTCTGCTTTTTGCTTATTGATTCATTTGTTTTGTTTTCTTAAATTTCACATATTCGTGAAATCTTATGGCATTTATCTTTCTGTTTCTGACTTATTACACTTAGAGTAACACCCTCTGGGTCCATCCATGTTGTCACAGATGGCAAGATCTAGTTCTTTTTTTATAGCTGAGTAATATTCCATTGTATGTCTATGTGTGTGTGTGTGTGTATATATATATATATATATATATATAGTGTGTGTGTGTAGACATATATATAAATATGTATGTCACATCATATCACATATACATATATCACATATTTATTCATCTATCAATGGACACGGGTTACTTATGGAAGCTTATTACCATCTTGGCTATCGTAAATAATGCTGCAATAAATATAGGGGTGTGCATATCTTTTCAAATTAATGTTTTTGTTTTCTTTGGGTAAATACCCAGTAGTGGAATTATTAGGTTTCAATATTTAATTTTTTGAGGAAACTCCATATCATTTTTCACAGTGGCTGCACCAATTTATATTCCCACCAACAGTGCACAAGGGTTTCCTTTTCCATATCCTCACCAACACTTGTTATTTCTTATCGTCTTCTTTCCAGCCATTCTGACAGGTGTAAGATGCTATACCTTCATTGATCCTAATTTTGATTCCCCCCGATCAAATAAGCAAGTGGGAGTTGTATTCACACACACACACACACACACACACACACACAATATCTTTTTGCTGCCTTCACACATGTTCCCTTGTTCTGATTTCTTTGGGAACTTTGCTCACCTGGGTGTGCTCAGTGCCCAGAGAACTGACATCAAAACCCTTAAGTTCATCATGACTCTTGGCATTTTTAAGCACGCGCAGGGATAATTTAGCAGTCTTCAGGGGCCATGGACCCTGTGTGCAGCCTCACTGTTTGCCCCGGGCACACCTACCATTCCCACCAGTGTAGCGACGGGAGGGCACTCTGCTTCTGCGAAGCGATGTCCTTCAGATACTTGGTGGCTTTTCAGATCTGCATACCCTTGATGGCCTGGGGAGGCTCACGTGTGTTCTTAAAGTGAAAGTGAAGATTTGAACCTCTAGATTTGCATGGTTTTGTATGGTTTTCTGGGTCACATGAATAGCGGGCCATTTTCAGAAGTCATCTCAGTCTGCTTAGGGGAAGAGCTCTCACCATCATTTTTATCTCTTATTTCCTACTTGATAGACCTTCTCAAATTCTTTGACACTATAATTCAGTGATTTCTTATAGCAGCAATTCTTTATCATTTCCAGTGCAGCAGTTAATTCTGCTGTTGTGTTTTTAGCTTCTCTGTGTCCTTCTTAACCTTAGCCCTTACCTTTTCATCTTCCATCGTTGTCCTTTTCATGACAGCACGTTCTCTTTGTGCAGCTTTGCTCCTGCTTTAGCTAGTCATGCCTCTCTGCATCTTTTTTTTTTTTAAGATTTTATTTATTGATTTGACACAGAGCGAGAGATCACAAGTAGATGGAGAGGCAGGCAGAGAGAGAGGAGGAAGCAGGCTCCCTGCTGAGCAGAGAGCCTGATGCGGAGTTTGATCCCAGGACCCTGAGACCATGACCTGAGCTGAAGGCAGAGGCTTAACCCTCTAAGCCATTCAGGTGCCCTGCTTCTCTGCATCTTTATAAGGATGCCAGTTTATTTCCAAAGCCTTGTCTCTAGAATACATTATTATTTTTTTTTTTTTTTACAAATTCACCCTTTGTCCTAGTACTGTGGATGTTATCCCATCTCCATTGTCATCCCCTTTCCCTCCCACCCCCAGCCATTCCATCTGTTCAGAGAATCAAAGAGCTAATGAAGATAGGAGATTGTATCTTTGGCCAGCTTCATGACCTAGGTTTTGGAGGTCCAGTGCTTCCAGACTCTGTGCAGTTAGGATCAGCCTAATATAGAACAGCATGACTATAGGCCCACTCTGCTTTTGCTGAAGAATCTGCCTATGTATTCCTCTCTCAGGAGCCTTTTTCATGCAAGCTACAGACGTGGGGTGGCCCTCTGACCCTGGCAATTCTGCTCTTTTCTGATTGGTTTTTGTTCCTCCTGTGTTTTCATCAGAGTAGTCCAACACAGGAGTGGCATTGCTAAGTAGAGTAGCCTCTGTGTGTTAGGTATGCCAGTCGTTTCTAGTATCTTTCCTCCATCCTCCCCCCCCTTTCTCTTTTCTTTCCTCAATTTTTGTTTTCTGTTCAGGCTTAAATCTCTTCAAATCCAGGAGGACTCCCGCCACCGAAACTTAGAACACAGAAGCACAGAGCATCGATGTTCGGAGCCTAGAGCCTCAGAACCAAGGACCTCTGAGCAGAGGAGGCTGGACCAGCGAGGCATTGACAAGCGGGGCGCAGAGCAGCGGCCCGAAGTGATTTCCGATTATGAGAAACAGCTCCGAACGCTGAAGGACGAGATAGCGGTTTTGTCTGCTGAAAAATCTGCACTTCAAGGAAGGTCAGACACATTCTCACAGATCTTTTCCTTTAAGTGCTTTTTGGTAGTGGTAAAAGCGTGGCTTGGGGAAAAAAACGAAATGACCTCTTGCACCCAAACCCCCACAGTATGGGAAACTTAGAATTGCAGAGGGATTGTTTTCTCTAACTGCACCCTTCCAGAGAGAGAAAATACCTCGTGGATTGTCAGCGCTTGGGCCCTAATTAACTTGGAGCTGACATGGAAGCCCAAGGAATGAAACTGAGAGTTACGTGGCTTGAAAGCAGATTCGGGTGGGTCTGTCGTGCGTGCATGGTACCCGTGCTGGAAGAATGTTCCATAATAGGAGGGTCCTGTTCTCTGAGGCCTGGGAGTCCCCTCTCTGGGATGACCACCTGTCCTTTTACTTTTTGATGGAGTGTGTGGGTGAGTGTTCTGTGACATCCCTTTCCACTGATGGAGAGAATGTTAAGACAGGTCACTCGGAGTTCCATGAGGACAGAGGAGGATGTTTCTCTCGGAGCATTTTCCTTGTTCTGTTTAACACCCACCACCTCCCTCAGCCCCACAGCGAGCCCTGACCCAAGCTATCGGAGCCACTCCCATACCTGGTCCCCATTCCCCTAAATGCCACCTTAGCCTTGCATTCTGGGGAGTCACTCTGCCATGATCAGCTGGTACCAGCCTGTGCTGGCTCCCAAGACCTGATTCTGTGCATTTCTGCCTCACTCCAAGTTCAGTGTGATGTCACATTCACAGCTTGGAGTTGGCCGTGGTGACAGTATTTCTTGCACCATAGAAATTGTCGGACTACTGTCCAGGGCTTTCGCCCCCGCTCCATCTTCAAAGAGGGCCTCGCATTACCGTTTGCCTCCTAGTTTCTCCTCCACTTCCCTCCCTGGTGGCCCATTTCCTTTGATAATCTACCTTGTACTCGATAGCGATACTATTCAAGTTACCGGGCTTTAAAATTCACCAAGTCCTTGCGCATGTGTTAGCTCACCGGATCTTTCATTCCCCACTCCCGCCCAGAAATCGGGCGAACCTGTTGCCGGTGAGAACTTGGGCTCTGGAGAGGAGAAATAAGTGCAAACGGTCCCACTGCCATAAAACGAGAATGCAGACCTTTCTCATGGTTGAGTGTTCATCCCGTTTTATACCCTAAAGCCTCTGTGATATGTTAGCGCCCCAAGGCTGGGGTAGGAAATACTGAGAAGCTGATCTCTTTAACTCTGGGCTTGCTGGCGGTGTTACTTTAGTTTTCTGAGCCTCAGGTTCCTTGGCCTTAGAATGGCCAACAACGCATGTTGAGCTCCAAGGGCTGCCTCAAGGATAAGATGAGGCAGGAAGCCCCCGCGCAGATAGAGCGCGCATGACCGTGTACTTGACTCCTGGTAAAGAGCTCGAGGGGGCAGCTGCTCCCCCTGGCAGGGCGCGGCTCATGGGTGTCACTTGCCGTTCACGTGGCCAGAAGCGAATCCCAGTGCTTCTCCGGCTGCTTCTTGGTTGCCAACAGGTCCGCCAGGAGCCGGACTCCCAGCCCCGGCCCTCGCAGCCGCAGCCACAGCCACAGCCGCAGCCACAGCCGCAGCCGCAGCCACAGCCGCAGCCGCAGCCGGTCCACCAGCCCCTCCACCGCCGTGGTGAAGATCAGGACCCCGTCGCCGAATCACGCCAAAATGTCCAACGTGGCACGCAAGGCTGCCCTCCTGTCCCGGTTCAGCGACGCCTATTCCCAGGCCCGTCTGGATGCTCAGTGCCTGCTGCGGCGCTGCATTGACAAAGCCGAGACTGTGCAGAGGATTATCTACATCGCCACCGTGGTAGGTGACGCCGGTGCGCTGCCCCTTGGAGGGCGGGGGCGGGGTGGGCAGCGGGTAGAAGGTGCTGGGTAAACCGGACCCTACAGCCTGAAGGAACAGCCTGGGCCTGAGGTCACAGAGGGAGGGTGGGATCTCCATTTGCTTGCTTGTTTCTTCCTTCCTTCCTTTCTTCCTCCCCCCTCTTCCTTCCCCCCTTCCTCTTGTCCTTCCTCCCTCCCTCCCTTCCTTCCTTCCTCCCATTACAAATATTTGGGATGGCTAATTTTTCACAGTCAAGAACTCTTCGTATATATCAATACTTATACCGCCCAGGCATTTGTTGAAGAAGTATCCATAAATACAGGATTATCTCAAATGAATATAAACTATGAATATAATATTATGAATATAAACTATGTTGATTTGCACCAGTCTTCCAATTGATTTCCTTTCCTTCTCAAATCAGAAGGCTGACTTGTGTTAACTCTTCCGTCTCTTGACTAAGAGTAGTTACTAAAACTTTTAGGACATGAGCTACTTGAGGATGGCAGATTAAAAGGGCTCATATAGAATCCTTAGTTCTCAAAGCAAAGGTATTGTTCTGTGGGTACCTTACTGAGATAGTAAGGGTCCATTATGAGAAATGAGGAAAAACAGTTAATATTTAAAAACAAAAGGAAACACTGGTATGAGAGCAGAATTATTGGAATCTACTGTTATCCTGCATTATTAATTTATTTCAGGAGTCTGCAAACTATGACCTGAGGGCCAGATCTTGTCCTGGCCTGCTATTTCTAAGGAAAATGCCACCTAAGAGCTAAGAATATAAGAATGGTTTTACATTTTTAGATGAGCGTAAAAAAAAAATGTGACAAAAAACTATGCATTTTTGGCAAGCGTTAAATGTTTAATCTCTGGCTCTTTACAGGAAAAAAGTTTGCCAACCGTGGTTCATTTCATTAAGAAGTCGGTGAAGGTTCTGTAAGCTTAACGGCCATGTCTCTCATGCGTAACTGAGTTTGCTCGGTGCCTACTATAACAGGCATTTAATAAATGTTTGTTGAATCAGTATATACCAGGAAATTTGTCAGATACTTGTTATGTGTCTTTATGACATAAACACAGATTGATAATTTCATTTTTGGACCAGTAATATGACATTGTGGTGGGATCATAGCATCAACCAGCACTTATAAAAAAAAAAAAAGATTTATTTACTTATTTGAGCGAGAAAGAGAAAGGGCACCGGGAGAGAAGCAGACCCTGCTAAGCACAGAGCCCTGCCTGGGGCTCGATCCCATGACCCTGAGATCATGATCTGAGCCGAAATCAAGAGTCTGGTGCTTAACCAGCTGAGCCACCCAGGCGCCCTCTAATCAGCACTTTTTAGGTGTTTATTTAACCAGAGACATCTGTTTCCTTGAACCTCTGCACTGTGCTGCCTCTCGAACTTGAGGTTACTAGAACAATGATCAACTGTCTTGAAATAGGTGAACATGCATAGTCACAGATGTATTTATGTACTTTTCAAAATTGAGGTATATATTTTCTCCCAGATTAAAATTAGTTTTGATCAACTGTATTTAATGTTCAGAAGACCCACATGATGTTGAATTTTTGGTGGGTATTCTTCCTTCGTCTCTTGCTTTGGATTTCTTTACTCCCCTTCTTCTACCTAATAAATTGGCTGCATTTTTACGTGCAGGAGGCATTCCATGTAGCTAAGATGGCATTCAGACATTTCAAGATCCGCGTGAGGAAATCGTTGACACCGTCTCTCGCGGGGTCGAATAACTTTGAAGATGCTGTCTCGGATTATATCATTTGTCATCTCGATCTATATGATTCCCAAAGCAGTGTTAACGTAAGTGTTGGGTCTCTTAGCAGGACTGGTGTGCTGCGTGCGGCTGCTCTTTCCATGGAAGACCAATAACTCAGAAATCCACCCAGTGTTCAGGATTGCTTTTATGTGACGGGATAGCAGAAATGAGCAGCGGCCAACTGACTTTGTAGAACTGGTCATTATTGGCTCTTTCTTAGACTTCTATGGGGAAAAAAAATAGTCTGACCTTTATAGTTCTAGTCTTTGGATGGGTTCTTAAGACTGGAGCTAGAATACCATAGGGCTTAAGAGCAATGGCTTTGGGGAAGGTCGGTGTAGACTCGCACCCTGGCTGTGCCACATCCTAGCTGTCTGACCTTGCACATTTACTTCACCTGTTTGTGCTTCAGTTTTCCAGCCTTTACATGGGAGCCACAATGGCCATGAACCCATCAAGAGTTCTTGAGAGGATTAAGTGAAAAACAAGCAAGTAATTTGCTTAGCATAAGACTTGGCACATAACAAACACCCAATAAGTCCAAGCTATTATAACTGCTGTTATTCTAGACTAGGAACAAGTTGGCACTTCCTGTACTTGCCCGGAATAGAAAATTGAGGAAATAATGAATAAAAGCCACTCAGTGTATTTGGTTTTAGTTTGGTGGGGGTGGGGGAGAGACTCTCTTGGCCCTTAGTACGCCATTTGTCCTCTACATCATCTTTGCTCTTTCCCCATTAGGGAAAGCACGTGTGCAGCTTTCCTAGTTTACAAACTAGTTTCCTAGTTTACAGTATCTTCACCCATGTGCTCTTTCTCTGCCCCAACCTCCCCAACCCATCATAACCCCCTTTGGATGTCAGAGCTTCTTGTCACAGGTTGGTAACAAGGGGATGCCCTCTTTTTGTTTTCCAGGATGTGATCCGAGCCATGAATGTCAATCCCAAGATTTCATTTCCTCCTGAAGTTGACTTTTGCCTGCTCAGCAACTTCATCCAGGAGATATGTTGCATTGCCTTTGCCATGCAGGCTTTAGACCCACCCCTAGATATTGCATTTGGGGCGGATGGAGAAATTTTTAATGATTGCAAGTAAGAGACATAAGAGCACAAGCTAAGGGATTTGTGTGTGTGTGTGTGTGTGTGTGTGTGTGTGTGAAACAATAAATAACCTTTTCTCTATTGCCTGGAAGCAATTTAGGGAAAAGAGCTCTGGGTGGGGAAATCAACAGACATGAGCTGACTTCCGGTCCCTGCCATGTGCTTCTCTGTGCCACAGGGCAGACCCCTCTCCTGGGCTTGTTCTCTTTCCCAGTCAAATGTGATTCAGAGGTGATGTTGTCATTTCCGCTGACTATATTGGTCTTGGGGAGAGCTAATGAGTACCTGGAACCTGTCTGGAACACTAAAAAAAAAAAAAAAGGGGCTGCCCTAAAAACACTCAAAAAAGGAACACAAATGTGTATTCCTTTTTACTGGTTTCTACTGCAGTATTTCGGCTGGGTGTCTCCAAGTAGGGCACGGAGATATATCGCTTGTGTCAGAATTACTCAAGTCTTGTTAAAAAGGCAGGCTCCTGGATCACACCCCATGCTATTTTACGCAGCGGGTTTGGAGCAGGGCTGAAGAATCTGCCATTTAACAAACACCCAGGTGTTCCTTGTGCACACCAGCGTTTGAGACTCACAGGGACCATTGGATTTCTATCAGCTTTTACATGGTAGATGTTTCCTATATAAATTAGAAGGAATTAAATTAATTTAAAACATTTTACTGAAACATTATGGGATCTTATGATACAGCTGGAGGTTACTGGGAGGAGGCCAAGCTAGTAGTTAAGAACACTGTGAAGCTTGAGGCTCTGGCATCAAGCTGCTTGGGTTCAAATCCCAGCTCTCCCACCAATTAGCTCTATAACCTGGGGCATGCTACTTAATTTTTCTGTTCCTTAGTTCCCTCTCTGTCAGATGGGGGAAATAATAATACCTATTTCCTGGGTCTGGAGAAAGTTAGTTGAACTCATTCAGAGAAAGTACTTAGGACACTGCTTGGCATGGGGACGCCTGGGTGCTTCAGTCGGGTTAAGCAGCTGCCTTTAGCTCTGATCAAGACCTTGGGGTCCTGGGATTGGGTCCCACATTGGACTCCATGTTCATTGGGGAGTCTGCTTCTCTCTCTCTCTTTACTCCTCCTCCCTGCTTGTGCACTTTTTCTTTCTGTCTCATATAAATAAGTAAAATCTTAAAAAAGAAAACAAAAAAGGACACTGCTTGGCATGTAGTGAGCACTCAGGGAATGTTAGCTCTTGGTCTTTGTTTAGATAGACGGTGGTGGCCCAATGTCCCTATGAGCTACTGATGACAGAGACTACATACCTTTCTTTTGCTTATCCAAATCACAATAATGGCGTTTCCAATGGCCTTCTAGCTTGCCATATTTTCCTGCCATTGCCCTGTTGCTGGTTTCTTTCAGATCATCGCTCCTAACACGTGTCCACTCATGGAAGAGCTGCTATTAGAACATTACACTGCAATTGACCTTTTTGATTTCCTTACTGAACATATTATTTTCATCCCTCTTCCCGTATTCCTTTCTCCTTTGCAGAACACATAGAACCACTCAAAAATGTTCATGCACTTTAGCTTATGGAATCTGCACATTTCACAGACCTCTGGGGGTCTCCTACTTCCGTGCCTTTAATCAGATGGAAAGTGTTGCTTTGTGGAGCAGTCTGTAATCTGTACCTCTGGAAGGCTGTGGAGCTGAAACTGGTTTTCCTAATAATGACTACTTGGTTCTACTTGGAGGATGTCACAGAACAAGTTTAACCCTTAAAAAAACAAAACCAAAAACAAAAACAAACCCCTGGCAGCCTTTCACATATTTGAAGCAATTCCTCATATCTTCCTACTTCTGGTCTCATGGCTTTGGGTTTTTCCATATAAAGGGGATTTGAGACTTCCTGATAGAGCAGTTTCTTTGGCCTGTGCTCCACGCTTTTTTGAGTATTCCTATTTAAGTGTTTACACTGAATGTAGTCCCCTGCTTTGAATGGAGCAGTTTAGAGAAACTAATACTTTTTCCATTCTTATTCTCTGTTAATCCAGCTAATTTGTACTAGTGTTTTCTGCTTTTTTTTTTCCAGTTATATAACACTGTTGTTGAACATTTTGAGTTCAACTGAAACCTATTGTTTACTTGTACCATGATTAAGTCTTTTATCACCTCTATCTGTGCAATTATATGCTTTTTGGACTCAATTACAGAACCTCATATGTATCCACACCATACTGTGTCTTATTAGATTCAGCTTATTGTTCCTGTCTGTTGAGCTATTTTTTTTAAAGATTTTATTTATTTATTTGACAGAGAGATTGCAAGTAGGCAGAGAGGCAGGCAGAAAGGGGGGGGAAGCAGGCTCCCTGCTGAGCAGAGAGCCCGATGTGGGGCTCGATCCCAGGACCCTGAGATCATGACCTGAGCTGAAGGCAGAGGCTTAGCTCCCTGAGCTACCCAGGCACCCCTGTTGAGCTATTTCTTGATACTGTCATTTGTTTCTCTTTTCTTACCCATCCCTAGCCTTTGAATGATTTACCTACAATTCATGAAGGTCATTGGTGAACATGTTACTTATCAAAGGATTGAGAGAGAGCCGAATTCAAGGTTTTATTAACTCATTAGTTATTTCACTTTGGGGTATGATCATTGAACCAGTTTCTACCCCACCTACTTAAGTCTATCATCCACCTACATTTCTCTTATTTTGTCCACAAAGAGAGCATGAGAAATCTTTCAGGATACCTATAGGATTTCAGATGTCTCTGTCTCCTATGTTTCCCTGAATGGTAACTTGTAATTCTGAGAAAGGAAGGAATGCTTTTAGCCTGACCTAGCTTGTTCTATGCGAGTCCATGTTGAGTCCTATCCCTGGTTGCTATTTTAAGAGCCCACAACCATCTCTTTGGTAAGAGAATCAGGATCCATATTCATCTAGACTGAGCATAATAAAAAATGAAAACTTACCCTGATGACCTCCAGTTATACTGCATCATAACTTAACCTTTATTTTGTTCTTTTGTGTGTTTAAAATAGGTACCGTCGCAGCTATGACTCTGATTTCACTGCTCCCTTGGTCCTCTATCACGTGTGGCCTGCTCTCATGGAGAATGACTGTGTCATTATGAAGGGAGAAGCTGTCACCAAGAGAGGGGCTTTTGTACGGTGGCCTTGCATAGTGACAATTCATCCCAAGTGTTTGATTCACAAGTTCGAGAACATTTATAAACCCAGAGATTCTATAGAGGAAGTCTAAAGTTGTTTGATAAGGTTTCATACAAAGGAGAGGAAACATATTGGTTGGGAAAGAAGAGATTCCTTTCTTTGATTCATCCATGATTCTTCATAATTTCCTGGAGTGACTTCTTTGTCTGTTGCTCTGTTTATAAGATGAAACTAGTCATATTTGCCTCCTCCATCTTAGAAATATGTTATTATAAAGGCAAACTTTTTGAGCTTGTCTTATTGGAGGCCCTCTATGATTCTAAGCTTTGGGAAGTGATCAATTAACTTTCAGGAAGCAGTTGGCCATATTTTTACTGGCGATTATCCATGTTGGGAAACGATGAATGTGCTGTTGTTCTCTCCTTGGTATGATGTATAGGGAGGCGGGGAGGGATGAAAAAAAGAAGGCAGAGGAGGTGGGGAGAGAGTAGCACATCAGTTTTGGAGGGTTACTTCCTGTGTGCAATGGTTGTAAAATGTTTTGAACATGGTAAATAATTGAGCAGCCCTCAAAATGGAGTTGTAGCTACGAACGTGTATTAATGTGTGTTGTGGTGGAGGCTGGGTGGCTACGGGGGCTTGGGTATTCCGTGTAGTTCACACAATGGAGTTTTTATCCTACCCTTCCTAGAAAGAATTAAGTGAATTCTAAAGGGAAGCTCTTCAGTCCAGCGTAAAGCCACCATCTGGGTTGGCTCAGATCCCGTTCTCTTTGAGTGAGAGAATAGGGAAGCGCTTCAATGGCATTTTTCCTAATATGGGAGAATAGGAGTAGAGTATTTTAAAAGAACTTAAGGGTTTTTGCAGCTTAAACATTCCACTATAGTGAATAGTATCTCAATAAATTATTTTGTACTATGAAAGTTGAACCTACAGAAATTGGGTTGGGTTGATCTGACAGTCACCATGGTCTATGATGAATGAACTTATAAAACATGCTGCTTGCTCCTGCAACTATAACTTTCTGTTAAGAAATTCTAATTGTGGACTCTCTGTAGTGCAATTTGGAAGGGAGGGAGAGGAAATAGCCACTATTTGTATATCCTACATCAAATAGGCATTTTAATTTCCTTCTTCCTCTGCTCAAACATATCACCAACGTTTTCCCCAGCTTAAACTCCTAAAACAAAATGTGAAAACCCTAAAAGGAAGTACTTGGAATAAAAGAAATAGTTGAATGAAGGGAAATTTGTAAGAAGAATTTTGCTAGTAAGATCTCTTTATAGTCAATATAGTTTTCTTATTCATTACTTTCGTTAGTACATGGGCAGCCATGTTGATTCCCTCCCTCCCTCCCTCATTCATTAATTCATTTCATCCAACAGTATTCATTTATTCAATAGTCACTTATGACTATTATGATTCAGCAATGAACAAAAGAGACCCAAATCCCTGCCCACATGGGGCTTATATTCTCTGACACTTACAAGCTTGAATGTAATTTCTAACGATTTACTCATCAAAATGAAATTCTAGCACCAAGACTTTGAGTATCCCAAAGTTCACTGTAATGGGGTTTTATCTGAGAAACACCCTGAAGTTATTGTCAAATATTGGGTAGCTGTAGGAACTGTAGTGAAGTGTGTGTCTCATGCTGACTGATGCCCAGTAATGGGCAAGTGTAATCGTATCAGGAAAACCTTCTACTCCATGGGATTGCATATTGTTTTAAGCCATGCGAGCTTTCACAAATTACTATTTTTCTCTCTCTCTTTTTAGTGGAATTCGGTGCGATCTGTAAGTCGATGTCGAAGCAGGAGTTTAAGTCCCATCTGCCCCCGTAGCCGTATTGGTTTAAGCACGGTATATATCTAATAATTTTTATGCAAAGCATCTTATGGTTGACATTCTTATCTCCAACAGTCACCTCTACAAGAGGGGATTATAAGTCTATAGGTAGAAAGAAAACCTGTTGCAATAACCCCAAACTGATTTTTATGCTACCTCGCTCTAAGAAATTTATCATTCTAGAAAGAAGGAAGTAGAGGTCATGTTTTCCTTAATTACTTGAAAGAATAATAGACTTTGCATATTTCGTAGTTTTATTTTTGTTTTGGAGTGAAAATGGGAAAGAGATACAGTCTTCTGAACAGAGGACGGAATGACCCAAACAGAGGTCCTCGGTTTCTCTTCAACTTATTGCACGAGTTTTGAGAAATTGCTCAAATGGTCTAGATTCCAGTACTGTGTAAAGGGCATTGTAGGTATTAATTTTCCTCTACACTTCAAAGTAGGAAGAATAACATTGGTCTCCTTGTGTATTAGTTCTTGGGAGGATTACTAATACCTCTGTCAAAAAAAAAATAACAGCAAAAACATTTTTGAAAACCAAAAACATTATTATGCTTCACCACTGTCGATTTATTCGACAAATAATATTTAGTCAATGTCTTTTGAGTACAGGACTGGATCAAGACATCTGGACACCAAATTGGCTAGTAATTTGCTGTTCCTTCGAATAAAAATTCTTTAAATATTTGTTCAGTCTTATTTTAGGGAGAGTGGTGGAGGAGAACTGCAGTTGGCAGGGCTCCAGTTATCTGGGATTATCTCTAGTCATGCAACTCATGCCATAAACTTCTAAAACTTCCTCTGTAAAACAAAATAAAAAAACAACCACCCCCACCCTCCGTTAATAAGGTCTACTTCTCTCAGTTTAGTGAGCATCTATTACTTCAACATGCTCTTTAACAAATATCATTTCCTTTTCTGATGGATGCTAGATTTGCAGAGAGGGGACACAAACATGATGAAAACATGGTCTCTTCCTTGAATGGGTTTCAATATAGGAAGATCAACATGATTTCAACAAAGTCACTAAGTGTGGTATATGCCACCATCCATGCAAGAGGCATGAAGGACTATAGCCATAGAGAGGGTAGGGACTGTTTCTGGACTTGGTAGTGAGGAAGGGGTTCATGGGCAAGTTGGTACTTGATTTGGTTTTTTAGAATGGATGGAATTTCAATGAGCTGGGAAATTAAGGAGGGATATCCAGAAAAAGGAAATAGCCCGAGAATGGAAAAGGCATGTATCTGACACAGATCTTTCCTCATAGAGATTTTAATATAACTGACATCCATATTCATGAATAAGTATTTATGGTGGGTAAAAGCAAAAGGATAGTGCATTTAATGGACTGAAAAATAAAAAAGAAATCTTGAGAATTTTATCCTGCAAGAACCTCAATCTCCTTATTCTAAGATGACATGGCTTACCAAAGAGCAGTAGACACCTCAAGCATTCACAGACAGGGCAAATTTTTCCTCTGGACTCTCACTGGAAGGTTTATTTATTGGTGGGCAGTGTCCCTCCAATAAAACCCTCATGCATGTTTCACACCCCTTCTCTTTCCTGCTTTGTGCCCAAGCAGAATCAAATAATTTAAACTTTAGATGAAAATAAAATACATTCTTTTTTTTTTTTTTTTTTTTTAAGTAGGTTCCACACCCAACGTGGAGCTTGAACTCATGAATCTGAGATCAAGGGTTGCATGCTCTACTGAGTGAGCCAGCCAGGTGCCCCTAAAATATATTATTAACGGTGAAGCCACTGCCCACTTTCTGGCCCTTTCCACCATCCTTTCCTTACAGTGATTGGGTACACCTGCAAAATAAAATACAAATATTTTTAGTTAGTCTGGTTTTTGGCTTATGAGGTCTTGATGCATCCAGAACAGCTTTCATTTTTGTTAGTGTCTATTTAAAGTTTTTGAAAGCTCAGAGCAAGAATGTTGCTTGTAGTCAGTTATTTCTGAATCATAACAGGTGTCTAGGTATAGGCAGTGGATTTTGCTTAGTGAAAGCAAAGGTGAGATTTTTTAAATAAATTTTTTAATTTTTAAAATAATTTAAATTAAATTAAATTATAAATTTAATTAATGAATTTATTTAATCAATAAATTAATAAATAATGTCCTTATATATAAATAATGAACAAAATTATCATTATTAATAAATTAAATAAATTTAATTTAAATTTAAAATTTAATTTAAAATTAAATTTAAAAATTTAAAAACTTTTTCGGGCACCTGGGTGGCTCAGTGGGTTAAAGCTTCTGCCTTTGGCTCAGGTCATGATCCCAGGGTCCTGGGATCGAACCCCGCATTGGGCTCTCTGCTCAGTGGAGAGCCTGCTTCCCCCACCCGCCCTCTCTGCCTGTCTCTCTGACTACTTGTGATCTCTGTCTGTCAAATAAATAAAATCTTTAAAAAATTTTTTTTTTAATTTTTAAAATAAAAATATTTTTAAAAGTTTTTAAATAAAAAAATTGCTTTGAAAGCAAAGGTGAGATTTTCTGGAAAATGATTCTTTCCAGGGTGGTTTTTTTTTTTTTTTTAAGATTTTATTTATTTACTTGACAGGGAGAGATCACAAGTAGACAGAGAGGCAGGCAGAGAGAGAGAGAGAGGGAAGCAGGCTCCCTGCTGAGCAGAGAGCCCGAAGCGGGACTCGATCCCAGGACCCTGAGATCATGACCTGAGCCGAAGGCAGCGGCTTAACCCACTGAGCCACCCAGGCGCCCCTTTCCAGGGTTTTGGACACAGGACATGATTCATATAGAGATCTGATGGAGAGCGTTTGATCATTTTAGCTTTAATTGGGTAATCTACTACTATTAATAACTCTTTTCTGGAAAGTGTTGAATTCGACGTGGCCACGGAGCACCCGATCTCAATGTCTTCAGCAGCTATTAAAACAAACAAACAAGCAAACAAACCAGCTTAGGCCACTGAGCCCAGATTTTATTGAATGACATGATTGAAACCACATTGAGGGCCCATTTACTTCAGGATGTATAAGAGGACTCGCATTGCTCAACCTCAGAGTTGACCATCATAGTTCTAAAGTGTCTCAGAACAACTATTTAGCTGGTTTTAGGAATAAAACATCAAAGGGATTCATTCTTTGGGCTCCATCTCCTGTGTCATTCATGTGACTCCTCTGTATTTTCCAGATATCTCGAAGCCGGAGCCCTTCTCCAATAAGATGCGGATTGCCGAGTAAGTGGGAAGGTTTAGACGGCTTTTTGATACCCTTCTTAACCCTCAGCCCCGTGCAGCAAAATGAATGTTTCGCCTCCCAGGGAACATCTCTGATCTCCACCTCACACCTTCATTTCCGGGCCCTTCCATTGATGGTGCCCTAGTGGGTCCCTTGGGTGACATGGGAGGAGCCTCTGAGTGAGAGGTTTTATCGATGTAGACCCAGATCCGTCCCCCCCACTTTCATTTAGGTCCTTCCAAAAGAGAATCTAAGAAAGTGACCATAATCAAGAACTCTTTGTTTTTCTCCCTAGGGTTTTAAAGCCACCAGACGTGTCCCTTTGCTACAGTACATCTGCACCAGCAACTTCCCAAGTGCCTGTCTCCTGTGCCTGCCTCAGAACTCACTTAAGATAATGTGAAAATGCAATTCTGTGTATCCCTCCACACGGAGAGTTAAATGTTTTGGCTTAGCATGTTTGTAACTTCAGATATATTGCATTTTATTTTATTTTAGAGATACAAATTCCATTACTTTGATAAAAACGATTGCATAGGTGTTTAGGATCATATTCATTTGAAGCAAAGTCCCTCAGGGTTTTCATCCTCAGATACTAGGTTCTTCTGTGGCAACTGTAGAAACTTAAGCGGAGGATATTTGCCAAGTGGAGTTCAAAAGACAGAGTCAGTTTAGTTTACAGATGAATCATAAATGTTATAATTGCTGGTATTAGCTTAAGGCTTAGAAACAATATTGAGTGTTTTAATTTTCTTTTGTTTGGAAGACGGCCCTAATCCCAGGCTGGGGAATTTGTCCTAGTAGTGGTGACTTCGGGCTACACGTAGATGGCATTGATTTCAGAGAATCAAGTTCACTGGCTGGCTTCTCTTTTCCTGATTTGAGACTGCCCTGTTCGGTTTAGTTGGGTACCAATGCCAAAGCTACTTACCTGAGGAAATGTTCTTGCTTCATAAATGGGGAGAAGTGATTTGGCTGGAAGCCAGCCTTGAGAGAAATGTTAATTACTTCGTGTTTAACTCGTGGGAATGTTTCATACAGTTTTAATGTACATGTTACGTATAGAAACGACATGGACATGTGCCGTATCTGGTCCACCTAGTTGTTTGCAAATTCAGATCTAAGAAGTGCATCTGACTAAAAATATCTAAGCTTGGGCCTTAAAACTAGGGGTACCATTTATTGATTTTTTTTTAAAGATTTTATTTATTTGACGCAGATCACAGTGGACAGAGAGGCAAGCAGAGAGAGAGGAGGAAACAGGCTCCCTGCGGAGCAGAGAGCCCTATGTGGGACTCGATCCCAGGACCCTGAGATCATGACCTGAGCTGAAAGCAGCGGCTTAACCCACTGAGCCACCCAGGTGCCCCCATTTATTGATTTTTAAATTGAGCCTCTATACCTTGATTTCTTTACTGTGAAGGACTGTTGAAAAAGTTCAAGTTTAATGTAATAACGGAACGTAGCTTTCCCAAGATAAGTGATGTTCTGCCTGCTCCCACTCCCCGCCCCCCACACTTTAATGTGGTCTTAGACATAAGACTCATGAATGACTGCTTTCTCTGTGTGCCTTTTGGAGAGAAAGTCTGAATTGATCACAGCTTGGTCTGCATAAACTCAGTGCCTAAACTAGCACCTAATGCTTTTTAGGTGGAAAACAAAACAAAACAAGACAAACCCAAAGCAAGAACTTCTCTGAACCATCTTGTCCCTTGTGCTGGTAGCTAGAGATGAGGAGAGACCTCCTCCAGCCCTGTCCCTTAGGTCTAATGGTCACCAACTTGATTCTCAAATGTGAGGTTCATTTTTCTCCCTCTGTGTGTTTTTATGTAGTCATCGCATCGAGGCGAGGCAGCCTGCTGAAAGGAGGACTTGGTGTTTAGGTAGTTCCAGTTCTGGCTTGGTCATCAGTTGGCTGTGTGGCCTTGAACAAGTTACTCCACCTCTCTGAGTCTCAGTTTTATTTTAGAGTGTGTAGGTTGGATGAGATTAGTTGTTCTCTCAATGCTTACAAATTCAGTGTTCCTTTATAACAAATGTTCTGGTTATTCTAAAATAAAATTCAATGTCCATATGACCCAAATGCATATATACTTTTAAACAATGAGTATAGTATCCTAATTTTGTACAAAGCAGTAAAAAGGAAAAGCAGTTTTTAATAACATGGGCTTCAGTCAGAAGGCTTCGGTCTTGCCATCTTAGATGATAAGATGAAATCATAGATGCTTACCCCTGTGTGTAGTCATGAGCTACAAATGCAGATCAATGAGCATTGTGTTGGCAATATCACGAATAGCATTGGATATGAAATTCTGAAATGGAGCACAACTCCTGATAAAGTTTTGAACAAAATCTTAGTCATGACTTGATTTACATAGTAAGCACATTTCTGGAAAAGTCGGTGTATATTAAAACCATGCAACTATTACTCTGTGTTTTTTTTTTTTTTTTTAAATCTCACTAAGCAATGAGAATTCATTTTTAGGAGTTGAACTGGGGAACACATGCCCTGACTTAGAAAATGTTGACACATAGCTCAGTTTATTTGCTCTATATCTTGACTGGCCACTTGTCATTTCTCAGGTCTCTCATTTGAACTGTAACCACACAGGGAACAGTGGTGAAGAGTCTAGAATAATTTTTGGAAAGGATTCACAAAAGCAAAGGAGGTTGACCTGTACTCATCTGGGCATGCACCTTAGTCTTAGTAACTTTGAAATATGAAAAACTCCTACTTTGTCAACTGGTAAATGTCAATTTCTGTATGATTGATTTAACATCTAATAATAAAATCAAGAAAAGGAGCACTTCTGTATCTGTAGGTTCTTTGCAATGAGATGATTCCCGAGTTGAGCAATAGCTTTTCCCCATCTCCATTCTGTAAGGTCTGAACCAGGGCCATGAACTCATTCCATAAGTCTGAACCACACCCTTGCTCTGGCATTAACCCTTTGATTGCTGCAATTTTATGCTGTAGCTTAACTGCCAGCTTTAGTTAATTTTATTCACAATCTATTGTCATCATATTCGAGATACTGTCTCTGAATAGTACTTTACCATTTTTATGGAGCTCGCACTTAACATTATTTCAGTTGCTCCTACAGCAAATTCAGACGTGTCTTCAACTTACAGGTAAGGAAGCTGTTCCTCTAATACACCATGCCAAAACTTCTTCCAAGGCCTTTTTGTTCAGAATCACATTCTTTTTTTTTTTTTCCCTTCTGTCGTGGCCTATAGCATCAGTTCTTTTGTTTACTAGTTCATTCATTCCTACACTCTTGAACACTTACTCAGCGTGTAGCCTGGGTATGCTAGATTCGGTACCCACTCCTGGAGGTAGAGCAGTGGACAGGGTTCTGGCCCTCAGGGAGCTTGATGTTATGTCCAGTTGCATTCTTTGGTCACAGGAGGCAGATAATGACGGAAGACAAAAAAAAAAAAAATAGGATCAGTACAGCATATCAGTTGAGGGATTTAAATAGATTAATTGGGAGGGCAAATACCCATATAGAAGAAGTTATGCAAGCAATAAGAGAAATGTGGTGAACTGCAGAGGAGACCGTAATTCAGTGCAACTCACTTGTCATTCACAGGTGAATTATGCAACCTTTTAACAAACACCTACTACACCTATGATCCCAGGATCATTAATAATAAAATGAGTGTGGGGAGGAGGAACTCCCAAGGTCAGTTTTAACATTTCCCATTACTACAGCTGTGCATTCCACCTGCTGTTACTCCTAAACTCTAGGGCGATTTGCAGACCATTCTAATTCATTTCTAGGCACACCACGTCCTTCATGAGGAAGATTGCTGCCAACAGTGTTCTATAAGGTTGGAGTTGAGTGAGAGATTTCTTAGTAGTATGATTTTGGATAGAATCATACCTATAATTAAGGGCAGAGGGTTGTGGATCTCTTAAGAAACCAGTATTACAAACTGCATTAGGTCATTGAAATGTGAGCCCAGGAACCATATGGGTAAGTGACATTCGGTGGGTGTCTACCGTTCAAATACCAAAGCAGTGAAGTGTGTTGGTCTTAATACAGTGAATGAACAGGGGCCTTGGAAATAAAGCAGGAACTAATTTTCTTATTTTAAAATGAAATGTAATTGGACAATTTCATGCTTTAAAAATTGCCCACTGGATGCCAACATGAATATTATACTTTCCATAGTTTCATTGACAATTACTGTACCAAGATTGGGCAGCTAACTCTGTTTTCTATTGGATGAGCAACAAAATAATGTGACAAATGGGTATGTAATACTCTATTTCAATAGCGTTTAAGCCATGATTTTCGTGATACAACCAAAATAACGTATTGAAATATGTTGTGAAATATAGGTTAGAAAAGGTCTTTAGTAATTGGACAGATGTCAGAAGATCTTGAGTACCATTTGATAAGTCAGAACTTTTAGCAATTGATAGCTGTTCTTGGGAGGCTGGGGTGAGACATTTCATTTCTCTTGTCCTTAGTTTTCTTGTCTTAGACCAGGGAATAAGGTTTGGAGCCATGTCTTCAGAGTAAGAGGGTTTAGGATTGGCTCAGCTGGGCAAGGCACCAGCTGAAGCAAGACTAGAAATGTCAGTTGTTCCTTTGTCATTACTTCTCTTAAGAATCCCTTGCTGAAGCTTGTAAAATGGTGCTCTAGGCACTGTGTGAGGCCCTGGGGACACAATGGTGAACAAGACTTTGAGTTGTGAAGAGAACGTGCTCAGTAGTCTTTGGCAATGTGTACCTGTGAGATGGGTCTGCGATCTCTCTTAAAGACGGCGCGGTGACTGGTGATGACCTCTTGTTTGGGAGATCATCTTAAGTCCATTATGTTGATAGTGGGTTGAATCAATCTTCCATCGCACTGTCATCTACAAACCCAGACTTAGCACCCAGTAATAACTTACTGAGGGAGGTTTCTCAGCTTAATGTGACCTGTGGTGAGAATGATTTGAGGAGATACACGTGCAGCTTAAAATAACACGTTGGAAGTGGCATGGAGGTCATAAAGAACTTTGGACTCACCGTTAGAAGGGAGGCATGAATCAGAATCAGAGTAGACGCATTGTCAAGGCTGATGAGTCTACTTTCCACAGAAGCAATTTTAGGTAACCTGACAGGAAGGCCTCCCAGTCACTTGTATTTAATTGACAGATTCTTGACATTTCAGTTTGAGAGCTGTACTCAGACTGAAGACTCTGAAGGATGTTAGAATACAAATGCAAATAACTTGGAGCAGTAACCCCAGAGTTCTAATGAGGTTTTGGATTCTTTCCTGAAAAGTGATAGGGATAGAGGGAGAGACAAGGGACAGAGGGACTATAAGGGCCTCGAGTAGGTGACTAGTATTCGTGGGTTATGTAATAGCAAGATTTTTCCATTTGAATGGGGGTAGTCCAAGGCATGAAAACCAGCTTTCACTTCTTCTGCTGCTGGGTCTGGTGTGAGCAGTCTTACTGGCCAGCCAGAGTTTTCTTTCCAAAAGGCAGCTTCATCTCAGAAATGGTTGCTACAGCCTGGACATTTGTGTCCCCTGCCCCAAATTTATATGTTGAAACCTAATCCCCAAAATGATAGTTATTGGGAGGTTTGTCCTTTGGGAGGTGTTTAGGGCATTTGGGTGGAGCCCTCATGAGTAGGATTGGTGCCCTTATAAAAGAGATCCCAGAGAACTCCCTCATCCCTCTCCCTATGTCAGCAAGAAGATGGCTGTCCATGAAGGATGAAGTGGTCCTTGCCAGGCACTAAATCTGCTGGCACCTTAATCTTGAACTTCCCAGCCTCCAGAACTGCAAGAAATAAATGTTTGTTGTCTAAAATACCCACTCTATGATATTTTTGTTATAACATCCTGAACAGACTAAGACAGGGGTTGCCTTTGGTCCAAGACCCATTTGTGTGCATACTTGAGGATATCGCTACAACTCACTGGCCTTGATGTGTTATCACTGACCTTTCTTGGTTTGATTTGAAATTGTCCAGCTGAAAATAAGGAGAGGGGTAGATGGGGTGGAAAAAATAAAATAAAAACTTTTGGGTTTTCTTTGATTAGAAAAATAAATTTCTCTTGGATGTTTTAAGAGT